CAGATAGAGGGGGAGGAGGTGGAGGTGGTCAACAAGTACAAGTACCTCGGGCTGTGGGTGGACAATAAACTGGACTGGTCATGCAACACAGAGTACCTGTATAAAAAAGCCCAAAGCCGACTGTACTTCCTCAGGAGGCTGAGGTCTTTTAACATCTGCAGGAAGCTCCTGAGGATGTTTTACCAGTCGGTGGTTGCTGGAGTACTTTTCTATGCTGTGGTGTGCTGGGGGAGCAGCACAGCAAAGAAGGACTCATCCAGGCTGGAGAAACTGATCAGGAGGGCTAGCTCTGTGGTCGGCATGAAGCTGGACACTCTGGTGACAGTGGCAGAGAAAAGGACATTAAAGAAACTGGTGGACATTATGGACAATGCCAGGCATCCTCTGCACACGGCCATAAACAATCAGAAGAGTCTGTTCAGTGACAGGTTGCTTCTCCCAAAGACAAGAACTAACAGACTTAAAAACTCCTTTGTCCCACACGCCATCAGACTGTTTAACTCCTCTCTGGAGGGGAGAGGGAGGGGAAACAGGAGGACAAAGGAGGGGGGAACAACTAAGCTGTAGTGCCTCTTCACCTCACTGTGCAATACCTTTTGTGCAATACTTTTGTAAATAGTCAACGGTGCAATAGACTCAATACTTGAAATGTGCAATTCACTTGTATTTTTATTTTTATTCCTATTTATTCTATTTATCCCCTTCGTATATTTTATTTATATTGTCTCTGTATTTATATATATGTGTGTGTGTATAACTCTGTAACTTCTGTCGGTGCTGTGCTTTTTTGGAAATCGAATTTCCCAGAGGAACCCACCCGAGGGATTAATAAAGTTCTATCTTATCTTATCTTATCTTATCTTATAAAGATTTTTTTTTACCAACAGTATCGGTGTCTTTCTGCAGCTTGATAAAAGTTTTAAAACTCTTTTATTACTTATTTTGGCTGGCATTTTGCCAGACTACTCTTTATTCGGAGCTCTTGATAAATTGTTTTTTAAAAAGTTATTATTTATGCAGTGTACAGCAGCTTGGATAAAGCAGCTATGTTGACTGCTTCTGCACTTGTTGCCAGTTTTTTTGCAACTTTTCTGGCTCGTGTACAAGACAATAGCGTTCCCGTTCTCATTGATGTCATCTTGAATTGACATAGAGTCACTGAAAGAAGCCCAATTATGTTTTGTAATTTTTTTTCCTTTCTCCTCCTTTCAATAGGACTAAATGTTGAGTGAAAACATTTTATTCTTTGCCCAAATGGTTATTCATTGAATCTTTTAGGAAAACTGCCACCTCGATTTTGACTAATATATTCTTTATTTGATCGAAATAGTCTAGTCTATGAACAGGTTACCTCTTGTAAGAGTAGTTATATTGTATCAGCTTAATGTCTCTGTTACTTGAAAATGTTTACACACAATATAATGCTGGAAAACCTGTTTGGGATCATCCAGTTGTGTGGCTCCAGCACCATTGTTTCTGATGCTGTCACTACTGCTTAAAGAACTTGGAGCTGAGTGTATATCATGTAAACTGTGGTGCCGAGTCCAACAGTGTTCTAATGGAACTTTGCCGACTAGTTTGTGAACTGCATTTCTTTGAAGTCCATAACGTGGCCACAATTTATCCATCATTTTCGGTATAACTCGACCATATTTTATATACAGTTTATGTACAATTACAGAGAATTCCAGGGTGTACTGTGGTGTAATTTAAATCTGGCTCACAATTATAGACACAACCTGACATAACAAATCGATATACTTTATTTCACCTTCTTAAAAATACAGAGGAGTCTCTCACGATGCTGAATGGGGGGTGTACCTCTGTGCTGCTTTGCAGGAGTAGCACGTGGAGTGGGTCAAAAACTCGCTCCGGTGGGAAGTTTGTGGTAAATCTGTAACACAGGTGTCCTATGGTGAGCTAAGGAGGACAGAACCCTCTGGGGAGGAGAAGGGTAAACACTTGCTTGGTCTTGATTTTCAGACTGTGAGAGGTTTCTTCCTGTTAAAAGGGAGTTTTTCCTTCCCACTCTCGCCAAGTGCTTGCTCAAAGAGGGGGCTATTTGATTGTTGGGGTTTTCTGTATTATTGTAGGGTCTGCCTGACAATATAAACCACCTTGAGGGGACTGTTATGATTTGGCGCTCCATAATTTAAAAAAATTAATTGAATTAAATTGAAATGGTAAAGAAGACATTAAAGGATGCTAAATTAAAGAGTGCACTAACAGCCTGCACGATAAGTGAGCACTCTGTGTTCAATAAAGTCATGAAAAGTACAACAGTTTCCAGACAACAGTGTGTAATTGTGAAATAAATAATGATCAGTCACTCTGTATGAGAAATTAGTACAGAAATCCTGGTGATCCTAAAGAGTTCCCACTTTTCATTTTGCTGTATATGCAAAGACAGTTGTTCGTTTTTAAAAACTGCAATAACAATATGTCAATCTCTGCTGGTTCGGGTCCTTCACATAAAATCATTATACTGTCTCTTTTGATAAGATGCAAAGATGTTGTGTTTTCCAGGCAGCCTGTGTCCTTGACCTCTGCTTTGAAACAGAACGTGTGTGAAGCTTTGTGAAGGCGTCTTTTTACACATGCGTCTTTGTCTGTGTGTTTGAAGCTGCCACCTCAGCAGACCCTGCCTTTGATTGGCAGGTGCTCTCTGCATGACCCAGATGCTTTGATTGACAGAAAATAATGGAGACAGGAGCTTAGGGAGTATATGTGGGTGGATGCTAAGTTAAAACTGTGAGAGGTGACAGTAAAACAGAGTATGAGTAAAGAGTTGTAATAAAACTACCAAAACAGAAAAAGACTGTTAGAGCTTGGCATGTTTTCATTTGTACATGGCTTTTCCAAGAAAATTAATTTCATAATAAATGTTATTTTTTTGTTTTTTTCCCTTGAAAGTAGATAAGTAGATGGTAATTTATTTGATACCATACCTCAGGGTCAAGGTCAAGTTTTCTGAAAATATAAAGTTATGGATTAACTTGCTTAATCTCTCCCCAGAGCTGCTTGATTCAGCTGATTGTTGTGTTTGTAGCATGTCAAATATGTGTTACCAACAAGGAAATGGAAATGCATCTGGTGAAGAAACTATGCAACATCACCAAAAACCTGCAATCTGCAAATATTTAATAACGGATGATATATCAGTCGGGTTCTAATTACAGCAGATGAAAAGGTTTGGCTCATTCACCAAACTTCCGAACAGCTCAGCTCTTTATTTAGAGTCTTAAAAACAAAAAAAGTGTAAGAAAAACAATAGTTGCTCCTAGGACAGTGAGACCGATGTTTTCATGAAGATATCACATGTCAATTATCTCAAACGCACACACAGTGAGTTAAATGGATTGACCTTGGCACACACTGTATGTTTCTGGGTGGTAGTGCCCAGTTTTGTTTGGGTTTTTTTTTCCCAGACAGCCTAACCCTCCAAATATCAAAGTAATTCAAATAGTCACAAAATTAAAAAAGTGGAAAACGTGATAATTAGACAATAATTATTTAGTGATTAATAATTAACAGTGAAATAGCAGTTAATTGAGAAGTCCTATATTTGCAGAATCTGGCAATTTCCATCATTTGTCCACATAGTTTGTTAAAGCTATCAGTAGTTTAGGATTAATCAATAACCACATTTTTTAAAAATGGGGTCTTTGCATTAAAAAAGAAAAGAGAGGACTTGTTTCAACCATCTCAAATGCCTCTTTTCTAAGCAAAATACCACAAATACATCGATCGTTTACTTTATCTGAGGTTCATTTTCCTAAAGGTCAAAACATGCTGTTTGTTATGCCCCCAAACAAGAACGCTAGAACATAAAGTGGACTTGCTTGTAATGTGAGTCCACTTTGTTTCCCCTGGCTCCAGTCTCCATTTTGCACCCTGTCATGTACGTTAGAGTGCCCAGACTCTTTGGGGGATCAGAGTAGTTGTCATCTAACCCTCCAAATGATCCTCCACGCTCTGACTACCTCACTGTGCTCATTTTTAAGTAGTTTCATAGACACAGGCTCTCAGCTGTTTGCTGTCATTTTTGTGTAAATACTGACTCAAGCACACACGTGTGAAATCCAGACAAAAACTCATGCATCAGCCCACACTGGCCTCGGCAATGTCTTCAAGGTTGTTTGTGAGATTTGCGCACTCTTTGGGACTAAAGATGAATAATTCATTGCTTAGATTGCTTTTTCATCTTCCTTGTTCCCCGTCTTTTGTGCATCCCTCCATTTACCTGCGGGCATGTTAATCACATAAAGAAAAGATCTCCTTGATGATGAGACAAAAAGCATCTGCTCAAATATCAGCTATGATTACACAGAGCTGAAGGATGAAGAATATTCTAGTTTTTCCCCGAGTGAAGGCGGAGCTGAATAAACATTTCATCTGTGCAAAAGTGGTTGAGGCACCAATTCATTTGCAGTATTATCACTCACAAAACCAAATGTAAAAAAGGTCAGTATATATGGGATCATTTACAGTCATTCAAGCCCTGTGGGGTTTTTTTAAGTAATATTTTGTGGGTCAGTAAAATTGCCTTTGAAACTGACCAAAGTGCCATCAGAGTGGGCCCTGAGTGCTCTCAGGGGTTTATTTTCTTATTGCGATCCCAGACTGCCAGATTCTGGCATCCTATTTTCATTTTGTGGTGTCCTGCAAATTAGGGCAGACATGAAAGCTGTGTAAACTTTGACAAGGACGATTGGGGACACTGAAATGTGAGCGCACACATCAGGGAGAGGGTAAACAAAATGGGACGAGAGAGGATGCACACTGCTGATATATTGTGGATGTAGAGAAGAAAAATGCCCAAGGTTTTGATTAAAAAAAATGCTTTTGATGCCATATGCTACACTCTGCCAAGGACTTTGAGGCAAAGTCAAAAAATAAATAATTCACTTTGGCTTTCTCATTTGTTTGGCTCTTGCTGCTTTTCCTCTTTCGCTCACGCGGTGACACTTGGAGCTTTCTTTGTGTCTCTCTCTCTGCAGATCACACGTCTGTTGGAGGACTCGGGGACAGTTTTTATGAGTACCTGCTGAAGGCTTGGCTCATGTCAGACAAGACTGACACAGAGGCTCGCAAGACCTACGATGACGCCATCGAGGTACAGCGTAGTGACTTATGCTGCCAAGTTAAAATACAGATTGTTTTCTTTTATGAAGAATCGTATACTGCATGCAGATGAGTCAGAGCTGTAACTGGAAATGTCAGCAGTTATTCTTTTTTAATAACCACAGAGTCCCCGCTGACCAGCTTCAGTATCCACCTTTGCAAAGGGAAGACATTGCTTTGTTTTCAAGTAAACTAGGAGTGGATTTAGTAGAAAGCAGATGTTAATGAAGCTGTCTACTCATCATTAAGAGTGTCAGAGACTGAGCAGAGCAGATGCTGCGGAGCAAAGGGTGAAGGATGTGGCTGGATTTCAAATGTGACCGTCACTGCTGCTTTAGTTTTCTTCTGTTTGACCCTCCACACCCTCAAGCAGTTGCCCTCAGTGTCAATGCCCCATTCAAACGGTGTAACCTTTTTCTGTCCACATACCAGTATTAATATTGTAATTCCTGTTTCCCACCTTATCTTGTTAAACACACTCATACACAGGCATGTTGTTACTGAAAACAAGCAGCTATATTCTACTTTTCTGGGTCTTCATCTTCTCTGAAATGTTGACACTTCCCATTAGAGCCTTTGCTGTTTCCACAATTGCACGCTCTCTCTTCCTGTAGGCCATCGAGCGCCACCTCGTACGCAAATCCAACGGTGGCCTAACATTCATTGGCGAGTGGAAGAATGGCCACTTGGAGAGGAAGATGGGCCACCTGGCCTGCTTCGCCGGAGGCATGTTTGCACTGGGCGCCGATGGCTCACCTGACGACAAGGCCGGACACTATTTGCAGCTAGGAGCTGAGATCGCGCACACCTGCCACGAATCCTATGACAGGACAGGTGAGGAAGCAGTGTGCTGCATACACAAACACAATATACACAAGCATACATGCTAGAGAAAAGTGATCACTGTCACTGTCTTTTTTTTTTTAATGACTTTCTAATATCCTAAACATTTAATGTTGGTGTGGATCAGATGCTGACAGGTAGTGTTAAATAGTCTTAACTATATATGTTAGGAAAATGTTGAATGGGTGTCGTTATCCTCTACAGTAGATGTCAGAGGACACAGTCAGTTTCCCTCTTAGCACAGCCTGGTAGTGCTAGCATCACTGTCACTTGTCTCAAAGCTCCAGTTCTCCTGTAAACTCAGGCTAGCAGCATTAGCATTCAGGTCACCCACTGGAGGCAGGACTATAGCTCGGAAAATCACCCACTCCTGCTAGCAGATTGACAATTTCCATTTGACTTGATCCAATCGTTATTTATGGTTTAAGCAACTAATTTACAAATTGTTTAAAATATTTTACATACGTTCTGTATTTTAAGATCCAGTTACTCAAATGTTTTATATACACTGATACATTTTACACATAAAAAAAAAAATCTTATCACCAGGCCCTGAGATTGCCCATGCAGTAAATCCATCTATAAAATCCTCCCAGTGACTCAACCAACAATTAATTCTGCTTGTCCTAATTGGAAACTATGCAGTTAGTAAAGTACCTGTTTTTCAGCTCTTTTTTTATTATTAATGCTTTATTTATTGCCATTTCCTGCGAGCATAATAAATATACTATTTACTTGACAGAGAGGAGAGGAGGGATTACCATGGCAACAAATGAAGATGGAGAAAGAGACAAATAAAGAATAGAAAGGGAGAGAGTCAGAATTTGATAGCTGTGGTCAGGCTGTCTAAAGTTGGCCTGTTTCTTAATAAGCAGCCATTAAATGTGTGTGTCAACACATACGTATGCATGTCAGTGTGTTTAATCCGTTCAGGGACAGTCCTGTCACTATTTTGTCAGCCTCTGTAATTTTCCACTCAGGCTGTTAATGCCTATCACACTTCATTGGCAGAAAGCAGTGGTTGTAAAAAGAAGAAAAGCCTGTAAAATCAGTGGGTTGGGATGCTTTTTATTGCTTACACACAGGCACTATTTCATATTAAGACAAGCACGGAGCAAAAGATAATCTTTATCTCCTCTCTGTTTTTTTCATCCATTAATTATTTGATCACTCTTTTCCTTCCTCTCTCTGTTCTATCACATCCTTGATTCATTCCACTATTTTCTGGCTTTTTCTTCTTGTCCCTTTTGCCTCTTTTTCTTCTTCCAATGTTACCTTTACTCCCTTCTCTTCTACCTCCTGGCCTTTCCTTTACATTTCACCTTTCTTTCTCTGTCTTAAGTGCTGAAGCTCGGCCCAGAGGCCTTCAAGTTCGACAGCGGCCTGGAGGCGGTGGCTGTTCGGCAGAATGAGAAGTACTACATCCTGCGGCCGGAGGTCATCGAGACCTACTGGTACATGTGGAGGTTCACCCATGACCCCAAGTACCGACAGTGGGGCTGGGAAGCAGTACAGGTAAAGAGATTAGACTTTGTATAAATCTTAGTCTTGATTATCATTTTGATTAGATTTTAATACCTGCGGGCAGTTTTTAAAGACTTACTGGAGAGGATGTGGAACAAAATGTTTTTGCATTTTTAAATTGAGGCTTATCCTTGAAACAGGAATACAGTGAAAACGTGGAGTCCACATAGACACACAAACGTGCAAACAATTAGAAACGCTGTCCCTCAGGATTCATGCACGTGTTATTAATTTGAGAAGAGTCCTTTGTAGTGCATAGCGTGGTTCCTAATAAAAGACAACGGAAGACAAAATGAAACTCATTTTTTCTGTATCTGTTTGACTATACCAAAGATTTATGCAGCTTTCTCTTCCCGTTCTCATCTCAGGGGGACTAAATATTTTTGTTTTGTCAGCGTTTATTTTGCTCATGTCTCTGATAAGCACAAGGTGTCCTTTGGCACTGGTGCCTCGCAGCACTGTTCACAGCTCTGTTGGATGCAGACAATTAACAGCCAACTTTTGAAAATTGCTTTCAAAGTTGGACAAGTGGTTGAGTAACAGGTTTCCCAGCCAGAGGACAGCTTGTCTCGTTAACTGTCTTATTTGGAGCTGGAGCTGCTTTTCTTTTTCTTCTTTCTTCTTGTTTTTCATTTGCTCATTCATTACTGTCACCTTGTTTTTCTAGTTTAGTTCTCACTAATTTGGTGTCCTGGTCAGTAAGATTAGACTCTATTCTAGGCTTACTGATGACTCAAGCACTTTATCTGTCTCACATCTCTGGCCAATTTAGAATCACCACTTAACTGATCATGGACTGTGGAAAGTTAAGCGGTGCTAACGACTGCACCACTGTGCCGTTTATCTTTACAGGAGCATTTTGGGTCATTTATATAACATCAGTCTAATCAAAACGTATTTCCATGTCACTTTATTGACCTGCCATTGTCAGCCCTGTTTGTTGTGGAGACGGTGGTTACTGAACAGGCCAATCACAATAGTTGCTGCGTCTGCGCAATATGTAGTTACAGTTCAAGGGAGGTGACGTTGTAGGGCATGCCTATTCAACTACAAAGTTAGTTGGGCCAGATTTTCAAACCGAGGAATTTATCTGGGCCAGATATTTTTTTTTGAAGCCAGTAAGCAGCAGATCATGATCAATTTCAAACCCACACAACCGTACTGAAAAACAAGTATTTTTTTTATTCCTTTTCCCCTATAGATCTGGTGGTGACCTCTCACAAATGCACACCAAAAGGTCCATTTAAAAAAAAGGGAGCTATAACTAAACTATTTTTTGCACATTTGAAATAATAATAACAAAAAACATTTTGATAATTCCCTTTCAAATTAAAATAAATATTTCGCTGACCACTCACTTTTCCTGCCATGGATGGAGCCCCATCGGTCACAAGTATACAGACACGCTTCATATCCAGACCATTTTCCTCAAAAAGAGCTGAAATCTTCTCAAACATTATTTCGCCAGCTGTGTGTCCCTCTAACGGTAGTAAACAGAGCAATTTCCCATCCAAAAAATGGACATATACGCACAACTGTGCATTATCAGTTCTGTCTGTGATCTCCTGCTATAGACATTACATCAGTTTTCTTCAGGTCATCTAACAGCATTTCAAACTCGTCTGACGCCAGAACTTCAATTCTACGAATATTTGAACTGTCCTACAGGAGTACGTTTTTAATAGCAGATGTCACACTCACTTTTCACCGCATCCACCATGGCCAGCATGCAGTATTTCACCGTTTCAGAATCTGTGAAAGGCCTTTTCTTCTTCGCCAAGAAGCAAACACGAAGGGAAGATGCTGCAGCTCTCTCTTGGGCTGTACAGGACCCTCACCATGGTAGTACAACTCCGGTTGTAAGATTATTAAACTCGGTAAAATGAATAAGTATTTGTCAGTCCTGGCAGGGTTAAACCGACAGTTTTCATTGTCAATTTTGCGCTTTTGGACTGAGAAAGACATGCTGTTGTCGCATCATATATTACGATGATTGTTTAATATGTTCACATCACGGTGCATTGTGGGTTAAATATTGCTAGGCTACTAGGAGTGTTGCATTCACAGTCTACACTACGCTGTAGGAATTTTTAATTTTTTAAAAATTAATTAATGAATTCATTTTTTGGGTTTTCTCTGTGTTTCTGCCAGGACCACAGGCAGGGCCACTCGCAGGTTGCTTCTGGGCCGCATTTGGCCCGCGGACCGCCATTTGAATAGGCTTGTTGTAGGGTCTCAGATGGCTTGTGGTTGTGACATAGTTATGGTGTAGATTTCCCGCTGAAGCAAAAATCCCCAGTCAGGATGAGTGTTGTTACACACAGTGCCATACTTAATGCTTTGCTAGCAACCGTAAATTCTGGTGAAACAAACTTGGTAAAAATTACTGGAAGTTACCAGAGAAGAGTCTTGTTTCTCCTTTTACTGGTGGGCTCGCCAATAATGACGTCATGTGAAAGCTAATTGATGAAAATGAAAATGGACAAGAAAAGGAGTTGGTGGGAAGATGCAAGTTTACCAGCAACCGGTGTGAGAAGAACCGTGAGTGTCAGTGGTTGAGGCAGGTGACTGCAAATACTCATGAAGCAAACGGTACTGATTATCAAAGATGTTTCAAAGTTAGTTTGTTGAATTATTTTACGTTATTACGTTATTAACCAGATCTTTAATCTCAACTAAATGCTCCATTTTTCTCCAACTGTCTAGCTGTTCATTATGAACTAACAGTGCTCCCATTGCAGGGTTTTTTTTCTCCAGTTTTCTTTCTTTACTTAAATATTCTTTGCTTTGCGTCCATTAGAAAGTAAATAGCACATTGAAACAGTAAACAGAGCTTGTTTTTTGCAGTAGAAACCATATTTAACATCGACTTTTGAGTCAGAAGGTCAGACTGTGCTTTAGTATTAGTAGTAATTTGCCTCTCATCTAAAAGCAGGTAACCGACAGAATAAATGCGTCTTTTCAAACCATTTTCACCATGCCTGTGCTTTTAACAGAGCATCATCAGCAACCTATGGTAGACTGTTCTTTTAAGCTTTAAATATGTGAAATGAAAGCAGTGCAGGTCTCACCAAACTTCAAAGAGCACAATGAAGGGATTTAAATTGACATCTTGCAATTTTTGTACTGGTGGGATGTTTTGATATGTTATTAGATCTTCTTCCTTTGGTGCTTCAATATGGAAATGTGAGAGAAATGAAAGTGTCTCTATACATTTCACCCCTCTGTTCCACTTCTTCTGACAGAGGATTAAAGAGTTCACCCGCTATACGGGACTCGGTGCGTCTTCTATGTATAAATCTCTATTGGCCTGCTTGTCATCTTCAGCTACTGCTTTTTTCCCTCTTTACTTTTCTCTTTTGTCCTGCCAATCTTCTTGTCACCTTTTCTTTGTTTTTCTGACTGGGAGGAATTGTGTTCGAGCTCATGTTTCAGACAAATCTATTAGCAGGTGTGTTTATGAAGTGTGATTGTATTCAGTGTGTCTGACACTAAAGAGCTGGTGCTGAAAGGCTCATCTTTGCCTCTCTTTTAATAATGCATATACACCCTGCAATGCTAATAAATATGACAGCTTATTTACGTCGTACTGCCCTTGATCAAGAAGTTTTATTGATTCAAATATCCTGAAGTTTCAGTTAAGTTTTTGGTAACAGGTAAATAAACAGTTTAAACAGTGTTTTTGGTTAATTAGATTGTTTTGATTCGGTCTTGTGGTTGTGTCATATTTTAGATGAAAGGGGGGAAACTACAAACAAGCATGTAACAGCTTTCAGATATTGTGTAGCTTAAACCGAATTTCCCAGAGGAACCCACCCGAGGGATTAATAAAGTTTTATCTTATCTTAAAAAGTAGTTGAGCTGAAGTGTTCCTTGCCAATGGCAGGCTGGCGAACAGTTGGGGTTAGATCTGGAAATTGTGAATGCCAAAACATCATCATCCTCATCAAACCGCGACCCCCTCAAACTCTCTGGAGAAGACCATTGTTGTCCTGGAAGAGACCACTCCCACAAGATGGAAATGTGTCATCTTAAGATAAAAGTGATCACTCTGAACAAACTTGTGTTGATTTGCTGTGACCCTTCCCACTAATGGGTTAAGTGAGTGTCAGACATTAAGTGGGGAGAAACAGAACAACTGGGGGAACAACATTATTGCTCCTAATATGGTTTGTCTGAGAAGTGCACAGACCTGACAAAAACCAGTTATTTCCAAGGACAAACTGTCCTAACTCAAGATGAGCTGTGCAAAATGTGCAGTGCAGTGGAGCCTTTATGTAAGAAAGGCCACACAGCCACTCCAAAAACACGTGGCCCAGTGTAGTAAAGCCAGGAAAGACTCAGCTGCACATCTACACTTAAAAGAGAAAGGACATGAAAACCGATGACAGAGGGGTAAAGGAGACATCTTTGTCCAGTGTAAACAACCATCAGTGAACAGTGTTGTGGTACCTATGACACCAGTTAGCAGCCACTATTGCCCAGTCTTGTGACTCCTTCCAAAGCAATTGAACCTCCCTTTACACTTTGACCCATGTGACCTTACTGACTGACACGATGACAGCATATGTCACTGACTCTCAGCACTACCCTCCAAGGTGACAACCCCACTTGGGATTAAAGACCTGGGATTGCCCATCAGCTGCCAGAACAGAAGAAGAGGTAAAACATCTTTTTGAATCTGAAAAAGAAGAAGAATCAAGTACTTAAGATCACCGTGACCTGGATGATTGAGAACCTGCACGGATAAGTGGACATGCAGCAAAAGAGAGCTGCCATCCCCTTTCTTTGTGTAGTGGTCAAGGATTTTCTCTGTATGTGGAACAAAATACTTTTACTTTGACAGATTTAAGCCTAATCATGAATGGTGATGTTTAGCAAGTGTTTTTAAACTATGTGTTGACTTTCTGCATGAAGTTTTTATGCTCTAAATTGCTCATTTTTATACGGTGTTGTGTTTTATACGTTGTTTTGGTTGTCATATCTTTTGCCCTTAGAGGCATCAGAAGTGTAATGAACTCTAAATATTATACACAGGCATTAACTTAGGCAACCAGCGCACATAGTGAGAGAGTCCTCAGTTTCTTTTCTGTTTGCATACTGAAACTCTTCCACTCTGTGTCAGCCCCATTCACTCAACCATACTTATCTGTTATTTCATGCTGCATGTTAATTGAGTATGTTAAATATGCACCTTCATAATAAACCTGAATCAATGCTTGTTAACAAAATACTGGAGTTTTCAGAACTACTTTCCACTCTCACTTTTCCTGTGTAAAAGCACCGCATGCTTAACACCTGTCTGGATTTTTTATGTAGGGTGGTTTAAGAGCCATCTTTTATATTTAGTTTCTTTTTCATTTCGTGCTGACTTTTTGAGTTTCCGTTTCTTAGGCTACGTCCACACTAGCCCGGTCTGAAAACGCTCCGCGTCCACATTATCGTTTCAGTCGTTTTCACAGAGTCGTGCGTCCACATTGAAACGGCCGAAAACGCTTACATTCCAGTACTGCGCATGCGTGAAACGCAAGCAGATTCGGCCTGCCTCATTCCTGTCTGCCCTTTATTTACTTTCCGGCCCTTTGAAACGTTGCGGCAAAATGTGGAGGAAAAGCAGTTTTTTTAAATGGACTAACAATGAGGTGGAGTTGTTGCTGCGAGTAACACAAAAGTACAAAGTTGCAAAAGCGAGTGAGAGTTAAAGAATTTGAAGAAAAGCTACCTGGAGCATGTACAGACTGATATTAATCTTTAATAGGGCTGTCAAAATTGAAAGCAAACAAAACAACTGCTGTATAACGCCCTCCGCTATCTTAGTTTAATTGGTCACTTGACTGCATCACATGACTAAATTGTGTCATCGTTTTCAAAAAGTCTCCGTTTTCGCTGTCCACACTGCGACGCGAAAGCACCGTTTTCAAATGTATGCGCTTTCGAGAGCCTTTTCAAAATGCTGCGTTCTCCTTGAGTGTCTCAGTGTGGACGGGAGGCCAAAACGGAGAAAGAACGATGCGTTTTCAAACGAAAACACACTAGTGTGGACGTAGCCTTAATATTTACACGTTGCCTGTATTTAACCATGTGTGTATCTTATTGCTTTTCTCACCTGTTTCTTTCTGACGTAACACCCCAGGCTTTCTCCTTCCTCACTCACCTTACTCTGTTCTTGTATTGCTCTCTTAATCCCAGCAACCACTCTTCACAAACACCTTTTCTGCTTGTTGCCTTAAAGTTCAGCTCCTCCTTTCCTCTTGCTCTGTCTCTCGCTCACATGCACACACACAGACACACACACAGACACATACCCGTACCCCAGCTGCATCCATCTGGTACACCAAACCTGCCTCTGTTTGTCACGCTTCCTCTATTCACAGCAGCTATTAACATTGGCTGGCTTTTACATGTGTATGCGTGTGTGTGTTTGTGCATGCGTGTGCATGCAGAGGTGAAGCCCAGCTGCTGTTATGTGCAGTGTGTCCTCACTTGGCTGTGGCAGGAACACTGCTCCGCCTTGCACTCCATTCCCTACAGGTAGACTTTTTATCGGATAATTTATATAGCACAGATGGTGCTGAGGTGTGTGTGTGTGTGTGTGTGGGTGTGTGTGTGTGTGTGTGTGTGTGTGTGTGTGTGTGTGGGGGTGCGCGCGCATGTGTCTTTTATGTTTGTGGGTGCAGATACCCCTACCATTGTGTAAAATATGAAAGAAAATTTCCAGACTGTTGAGTTTTAGCTCAAGTGTTTATGTGACTTGTGTTAAAATGTCTCTTTTAAGTGCCTGGACCTAATCTATGATACACTCTGGTTGTTATTATTGTGTTCGTGTGCCACACTGGCTGTTGCAGGGCACTGCAGTGCAGATCAGGAAGGGCAAAGTTTGCCGGACGCAGCAGCCCGTGAAAATCTGGAATTATGGTCCAAACTGACAGTGAAACGGTCACTCGAGGACAGGATAGAGAAACGTGTGTGTGTAGGTGAGAGTGAGAGAGGGGGGCAAACTGAAAGACAAGGACAGATATCACACTTTGAATTCCATGCACTGTCTGTGTCAATAAGACATGAGCAGAAGCACCAATTTTCAGTGTCACAAATCAGTAGAGCGCGCAGGTAAGAATGGACTGTGTGTCGCCAGCTGGGTGATTGCTGCATTTCTAATGAGCTATTTCTGGTTTGTGTGTGCAGGCAGGGAAAGCACCTGCTCGCAAATGAGCCAAAACTGTTTGTAGTAGGGAATCATCCAGTTAAGCTGCCTGGAAAAGCATTGTGATACGTGGAATATGTGTTAGTCGCTGTTGTTTCGCGTCAATAGATGTGAATATTGAGAAGCAGGATTACAAAAGTGTGCTCTGTTTTCTAATCTGGATCGCTTTGTTCGATAGAAGGAATGAAAAGGAGTTGACTTGCTGAGCGTGCTTGCTGAATCCACAAAAACAGGACTCATTAATAGCCCTGCGCTCAAGAGATTGATTTATAAATGCATAACTTGTGTAAGTTGAGCGTGATTAGAATGGAAATCAGAATCTGGCGGCAGTTTAAACTCGAAGCGTTGACTGACTCAGCTGTCTGTGTGAGTCGCAGTGCACAATGCTCAGGTGTCAGATCATTTAATAGACCCGGTTCTCCTGCTGCTGTCGGCCCGGCTGCTCTCCGTGTTTGTTGTTTTGCGCTTGTTGAAACACTGACACATCACATCGTTCACAGTTGAAGAATCAGCGATAAACCCTCGAAAGTGAGCAAACGGGGGATTTACATCCCAACCACCTACGATTGTGCTGTCATTTTGTCCTGAAAGAACCGTGTGTCTCGAAAGGAATCGTGCACAAGCAAAAAAGAGAACAAAGACGTTTTTACCCCCCAAAAAAGAAAAAATATCTCCAGTTGAAACAGTAAATCTGCCTTCAGTAGAAATGTGCAGATGAAGGTGAAAAGAGCCTGATTAGAAGATTGTAAATACCCCTGTGGGATGGCCACGGGCTTTACTTCACCTTAAGAAAGCGTTTACTTTGTCATTGCACTCCAGCTCCCCACGGGTGAAGGATAACAGGAGCCAAATGAGTGTGTACCTTCATTATGAAACTGCTTTGTAAAAACAAAACACAAAAGTTGAATGAAGTATAAAGAACAGAAAGGCAGCAGTTGTGGTAATCTGTTTTTTCCTCACATTTTGTGCAGCCGCTGCTTCCTGTATGTCACCGCAGGACACTCTCTAATCTGTCACACGCAAAGAAATTAATTACACCATGCTTTTTATAAGCATATTAAAATTGTACTCCCCTCCCCCCACCTTTCCTCCACTCTAATGCTTTCTCCTCATTTTGCTTTTCTGTCATGTAAACCTTCCCTCTACCATTTTCTCATTTCTGTCCACTTTTTTTCCTCTTTGTTCTGCCTTCATTTGTTTTCTGTCTCCTCAACTTCCTTGTTTCTGCTCTACACTTCATCCTACAACTTGCCTTCCATCTCTTTCTCATTCCTCTTCTGTTCCCCCTTCTACCTCTCATCCTCCCCCTGTCTCCCCGTCTTCTCCAGGCCATTGATAAGTACTGCAGGGTGAGTGGAGGTTTCTCGGGGGTGAAGGACGTCTACTCATCCAATCCAACCTATGACGACGTGCAGCAGAGCTTCTTCCTGGCTGAGACACTCAAGTAAGTTTGTCTTAATGGATCGATCAATTGGCAGAAGCTGTGAATAGTCAATATGCTTTTTAATTAATGATTCTTATGATTAATTCAGTGTGGGTGTGTGGGTGCTGACTGAGGGGGTTTACCAGAGAAAAGCGTTTGCAGTTATTTCAAACTATCTGTTAAACAGAAGTGGAAGAAGACAAAAGCAGTCAGTTTCTAACCCGATGTTTGTTTATTTATTTATTAAAGTTTGCCCTAACAGAGCACTCATACATATTTGTAGATTAAGTATGTGGTCATTGTAGAAACATGTGGTGAGTGTTCATTCTCAGTTGCATCAACAGTCGCAATCACATTGAGTGAAGCTGCTGCAAAGTTTGCAGCATTTGTACAAACTCTTGTATTTGTGTTGCCTCAGAAATAGTTTGGTGCAGTGACTTGTCAATAACAATTTGCTGGCCAATGAGCATACCGTTAATAATGCTTCTTACTGATACTTTTAGTGCATCTGAAAAGTATTTGCATCACTTGTTCCACATTTGTCATGTAACGTCCTTATTCCAAAATGGATTCAATTCATTTTTCACCTCAAACTTCTACACAATATCCCATAATGACAGTGAAAAAGTTTGCTTGAAATTCTTGCAAACCTTTGCCCATTGTTTTATTGAACCACCTTTGGCACCAATTACAGCCTGAAGTCTTTTTGAGTATGATACACAAAGACATGCTGTAATAAGCTTAACACACCTATTTTTTGGCCAGTTTTGGGTTTCTTTTCTTTTTTTCTTTTTTGGCCCATTTTTTTGGGGGGGGGGGCTATTTTCTCCCAGTCTTCTTTGCAGAACCGGTCAAGCTCCATCAGATTGGATGGGGAGCATCAATGCACAGCCATTTTTAGTTCCCCAAGAAGTTCAAGTCTGGGTTCTGGCTGGGCCACTCTGGGATATTCACAGAGTGCTCCTGATGCCACTCCTTTGTTATCTTGTCTGTGGGCTTACGTTCATTGTCCTGTTGGAAGATGAACCTTTGCCCCAGTCAGAGCGCTCTAGAGCAGGTTATCATCAAGGATTTGTTTGCACTCATCTTTCCCTCGACTTTGACTAATGTCTCAGTTCCTGCTGCTGAAAAACATCCCAGCATGATGCTGTCACCACCATGCGTCACTGTAGGGATGGTATTGGCCAGGTGATGGGCAGTTATGAGCGTTTGATCTTTGTTTCCTCAGACCAGACGATTTTGTTTCTCGTGGTCTGAATCTTTCAGGTGACTTTTGGCAAACTCCAGGGGGGCTGTCATGTGGCTTTTACTGAGGAGTGGCTTCTGTCTGGCCACTCTACCATGCAGCACTGATTGGTGTAGTCCTCAGAAATGACTGTCCTTCTGGAAGGTTCTCCTCGCTTCACAGAAAAATGCTGGAGCTTTGTTAGAGAAACCATCAGGTTATTGGTCAGCTCCCTGACTAAGGCCCATCTACCCTGATGGCTCAGATTAGTCAGGCGGGCAATTATTTAATTGTTTTTTATTTTAAATACATTTAAAAGATATTCAAGCAAACTTTTTTTCATCTTCTCAATAATGGGGATTTGTGTAGAATTTTGAGGTGAAAAATGAATTTTGGCGTGAGGCTGTAACATGAGAAAATGTGCAACAAGTGAGGCGCTGTGAATGCTTTCCAAATGCACTGCAGAGTGACCACTGAGGGCATGAACTCAACAGCAAAGTGTTTACAGAGGTCCAGGCAACCGGACACGTTCCCATAGACAGACGTCTTTTTGCAGCTACAGGTATTTATGCAGGTTAAAGGCACTAATTAGCTGGCTTCACTTTTCAGACTCAGAGGCTTCATCCAACGTTTGTTTACTGTCTATAGTGTGGACAAGAGAGACTCGCTGTTTTTGTTTGTTTGTTTTGCTCGTACACAAAGAACCAGTCATTTCACCAGGTTATTGTTGTGATTTCTTTTCTCTGGGGACAGTGAACAGGTGTCAGGATATTTTTACAGCCATACAAATAAATAAAGTCAGCTAACGTGAAGGGAAGCTGCCATGGCTCTGTGGCACATCATGGTCACTGATGGATGAAGGGAGAAGAGGCTCTCACTGAAGGCTCGTACGCAGTGGGAGAACTGAATACTGATGTAGCTCTCTGGTTCCCTCTGCTGGCTGCTCTTTGAATGCCATCTCCTCCTGACAATGTTCAGTATTTATAACCTGATGTAATTCAGTTGTGACTGTCACTCAGACAGCCTGACAGGCCAAAGAAAATCATAAAACAAAGCAAGCTCAGTTTTACTGCCGGTCCTGTCAGCTCTCGTGTTTACACGAAGCTATTTATCAGCTCTTCATTTGCAAGTATAACGAGTTTAAAATTAACACCCACAAAGCATCAGATGCCAATAAAATCCGTCTTTGGTATTGAAGTCGTTAAAGGTCGCACGCCACACTGTCTGCTAACTCTCTGAGAGGATGACATTTGAATGGCTCAGTGTTATGCAGACTTTGGTGTCTGTCTCTTCTCAATCTTTGTCTCTGCTGGCTTCAAGCCAGTCGCGTCAAAGCAATACAGCAGCTAAGTGTCAGCTAAGGCTGCTGATTGGCTGCCAGTCACGCTGATCGTCACACATATCCAGCGTCTGAGTTTATGTCAAGAATTTAGGAGCTAAGAAGTGAACAAGCAAGTTGAAATCTTTAAAAAAAATTAGATGAGAATTTAATTAATCTTAGATGTTAATGAAATTGAGAGCTTCTCAGTCACGGTGTAAACTGTGTTTAGGACGAGTTCCCGGCCTCCTGCAGTAAACTCTTATACTGCATATAGAGTTGTTCTGTGTATTTATTCAGGTTTCTCTCGCAACATGTGGAGCAGTTTGTGCTGTTCGGGTGTGATAATCATAATAATTGTTTTGGTTTTGTGGCTGTTTTTTGTCATGACAACAGATGTGAATCAACAGCTGTAAAAACACTAAATTAAACAGAGGTTTAGGATTTAAATTGTTGGTTTAAGCTGACACTTCCCACTTTGATATGACGAAGCTGTTGACATTATATTCACCTAACTCATGCAATTCTTTCTTCTTCCTCACCCCGTTACCCACCACCCCTCACACGTCCTTCCCCTTACCCGCATCCTCTCTCTCAGGTATCTGTACCTGCTGTTCTCCAGCGATGACCTGTTGCCCTTGGAGAACTGGGTTTTCAACACGGAGGCTCACCCACTGCCAGTCCTCCACCTGGGAAACATCACCCTGCCCGGCAGCGAGCCCGCTCAGCGGTAAACGGGCTGGCACTTTTTTTGTGCACCACGGCACCAGGGGCCTGTTTGCCTGCCTACCCAGAAAAACCCACCCACGAACACCAGACAAACTTACAATTCAGACTCTCAACTGATTTCTAACTGAGACCATCAACCCGGGGGGTGGGGAGAGACCACTACAGAGCGAGAGGACCTGTTACTTTACTCGCTCTACTTCTATGTTTTACTCTTTGACTCTGTCGATCTGTCTTCTCTGCTCGAATCTTAAGGATGGTGGGTGTGCTGCTCAGCCTCGTGTTTGGCTTGAATCGACTCTTTTTACTGAAGGACAGAGCTCCAAACCAGAGGCGTGATTAGCTTTTTTTTGTTATCACTTTTAGTCTTTATTTGAAGAAACTCCAATGCAGACTCAAGCTGACACGCTGACAGCTGACTATGAAGGATTACAAAAACACTTTGACACTTAAACTGATGAAAGTGTCATGTTTTGTTTTGTTTTGTTTCCAAGCAGACAGACTTCAGGACTTTACAGGGTCTGTTAACACAACCGTTTTTTTCTTTCTTTTCCTTTTGGACAAATCAATATTGGGGACACAGGGTTGAATCACAGCCCTCAGCTTCTCCCACCCAAATCCACTTCCTGTTTAACCTCCATCGGATGAACTTCAACCCGGAACTGCTAGCAGATGGACACATCATCAAAGCGAGGGCAGTTTGTGGCAGTGGTCACCGCCTCCTCTGATCCTCGGTTTTCAGAAAAACTGGCCATCATAAGTGGAAGAGTAATTAGACGGGGACTACAGGAGGCCTCCCCTTTTCTCACCACTCCACATGTGTCCTGATCCTCTTCCATGTAGAGACACAGCCGCAGCTTTCCCCTCCTTAAAAAAACGTTCTGCTGCTATAGGATTCAATGCTGCTTTTTCTTCTTTTTAAATCTCTGTCCTTCACATTTTCCCCCATCATCTCACAGCTTCTGTAAACCTTTGTCTCATCTTATTTTCCAGCTTTTCATCAATCAGGCACATTATGTTCAGGCCCTTACGTTTTGTGATGGGGTAACCATGCTTTATGTATAGGAATGTTTGTTTTGTGGTTAATATGAAACCTGGTGAAAATCATTTATTTGCATTTTTAATGGGAAGACTATGAAGAAGAGGTTGGTAGAGGAGTGGCACTGAGAAGGGTGAATAAATTTAGAATACCTTATGGTCTCCTGCTGGCATCCTATATCTACACCCACCCCACCTCATAAGTCGGATGCATCATTTGCCACCTAAATCTTTGCTTCAGTTTCATACTTAAAGCACATGTTTTGGTCGGACTCTTAAAAACATACATTTTTAAGGAATCAAACATGTTCCACTTGAGTTATTACACTACATGCACAATAAGCTATTCAGTTAATATTAGATCATAATACTTTCTGTATGCAGCTGCAGTTGTGTTACTTTATCAGAGTCAAACTTGTAAGTGCTGCCTGAGGTCAGGGACAAGCCTGAAGTTCCAGTATAGGGATGCGTTTGATTCCAGATGCACATCTTTTGCCCAGATTTTCGAGCCATTTTTCTCTGAGGTTTGAAAGTCACAGCAGGGCTCGTTCCGTACTCTGACTCGCGTCAAGATCTTGACCTTGTTTATGGAAGTTTGTGCAGCTCCGTTAGCAGCACAGCAGTGCCTCCAGTTATCACTCTTAACACAGCTCCTCGTGGTACATCTAATGCAGCGTGATGGATTTACTGCTCGGGTTGCTCAGATAATGTAATGCAGTCTGCAAAATAAAAAATAAATAAATAAAATGATATGTTGGGGGGAAAAAAGAATGATACAGTTCTCCCATGTGAATCTGACTAAAGGCTTTAAACGTTTGATGTGATCTGCTACTTTTAAGGGCCGTTCTCTGACTCATTAAAAAGTCCCAAAGGGCAGCAGACATGTGAGTAAGCTTGTCTCATATCATAGCAATGTTAGTGCAAGCGATTATCCGACACACAAGAACCAGATACCGCTCCTGCTTTGGTTCATATGCGGAGTGTCTTAAAGACAACAGCAGTATTAAACATCACAGATTTGTTTAGATGCTTTAAAGAAAACTCATTTTACATGGTGGGCCACATGCAGCCCACTGTGATCTTAAGTGGGCTGGACTCAGTCAGTGTAAAGACGTTTACCTGCACATTTAATCCCAGAGATATCTTAATATAAGAAAGGAAGTTCACTCACGAAAGTTTGTCATTGATCTACATGGTAAAAAGTGCAGCTGTAGTAAATGAAGGAAACCTAAGAAATGAATGACACAAAATTCTTTTACTGTAGACTCAAGTGAAAGAAAACATTCTGTCATTTCATTGTTTATCTATTACTTAATTACTTTGGTGTTGTATGAATGGCCATGAAGGAATGTCAGCAGGAAAAGGTGTGAAACTTGTGAAAATATAGTTAAAAGTCCAAAATGTGTGTCTGCCATTTTCCAAAGCAGTCCAGCAGGCCAGATTGGAGTCTTTGTTGGTGTGATTCTGGTCCCTGGGCCTTATGTCTGACTCCCCTGCTCTAAGTCTTTACATAAACATCAGACATAACATACCAGCAAGACAAGCCAAGCACCATACAGAAACAGGAAACACTGGCTAACACGTCATTTTGTGTTAGCCAGGAGCTCTTCATGTTTTGCATTTATGCTTTCGTCTTGTGTTTTGTAGTAGGTCAGTAGGTTTTGTAATTGCACACACATTATGGAGACTTAGAGAAATCACCCTGAACTGCTGGGACACAAAGATAACAGCACAAAAAGAGCCACATTTATTAAATGCTGTGACAGCTTTGCGTATTCCTTCCTGTCCTCTCGCCAAAATGTAAGAAACAAACATTTCCTTTTATGAAAGTAGGATTTGCAGACTAGATCTGCTGGTCGTCTGTCAGTAAAGCCATACTGTGTGATGCGGGGCTGCTAACCAACAGCTCCTGCTGCTTTTACAGCACAAACACAGACAGATGTCGGCTGAAGGAGTCGATTAGCATCACTAACTCCAACACTGGGAGTGGAAGCAGACAACGGGGGTTACATTAATGTGATGTCAGACAGTCATAGCCGATCTTCTTCGTAACGCTGCTCATGTTTGATCGATCTAGAAAATTGTATTTGTTTGTTTGTTTTTGGACAAAATGTAACGCAGAAGTAGAAATGTTGGTAACTTTTATTCTGGTTTATTTTATTTATGCAGCAAAATTTCAGCTGTGGTGTTTTTTTTTCCCCCTTTAAAATTTCAGAGAGGCTCTCAGAGCATTCCTGTGTTGATCAGGTCGTAGGACTGTTTCATTCCTCCTGCGTTTTATTTCCTCCGTGTTATTTTCCTTCATTCAACAATCGTGTCCATTAAGAGTCCGTAGTTACAGCGCAGTCGCTGACATCACACTGACATCATCACCGCCTACATGTCACGAGGAGGAAGCCCGAGTTGAAACCTGCACGGCCATCGAGTCGCTGGGAGCGGCGCTGATTTTGAAAACTGAGTGTTCTGTATTTGTATTTTTACTGAACTAAAAAACGAAAAAACGAAATGAAATGAAACTATCTGTAAATATGTTTAAAACTGAGACACAGATTCAATAAAGATGTTATGAAAAGTGATCAGAAACCAGGAGCACATTTATTCTTTTGCTTTAACTCGATCATGTTGTCATGATGCTTTAAGCACCAGTTGCTTTTAGAAAGTAAAATACCACAGCCGTGTATTTTTCACTTTGGTTAAACATACAGGATATTTCATTAATGACTGTCTCTTTGTTGACCTCAGAATTTTGTTGGTCACCCCAGAAATGTAGCTGCTGGGGTGGAAGTTTAAAGGCCAGTTCAGTTTCTCCTGACAGTCACTTTGATCTTCTGAGTTTTCCAAAAAGTTGAATTTGATCATTGTTTAAGAATAAATACCTACAAAGACAACACCATTGTCAGTGGTTGGAGCTGTGCTTGATTATAGATGCACAGATGAGTGTGTAATTCTGCCATGTAGGTGGAAACATTAAATATTTTCTTCAAAGTTTAGTGTCTATAACCAAGAACCCGTCACTGGGGGCCAGCTGCTCGACTCCAACGATGGCTCTTATAAAGCTAATAAGATGCTGAAGCATCAGTGTCATTAACATGAACTAATCTACAGTAAATGTGTGAGTGAAGAGTGAAGAGTTGGCTTCCTTCACATGGTTCACTGTGGCAGCGTCCAAGCTGTCCCCTCATACACAGTGAGGGAAATAATTTTTTGATCCTCTGCTGAATTTGTAGGTTTGCTCACTGTTTAATGGAGACAGAACATCAGCCAGAAGTAATGCAGAAAAAAATTAGATGAACATGTGAAATGACCATCGGTTGTCCTCAGCCTGGAGCTCACGCCTCATGGTAAGGGATTGATAGATGGTACTCTGTGGGAGCCAGAATCCTGCCTGGGTTGGGATCAAATACTTATTTCACTCTGTGACATGCAAATCAAATTATATGTGATGTGTTCTTTCTAGATTTTTGTCTAACATTCACGTTCAGAGAAACTTGGGGATATTTGGAAGCTGACTGGAGCATCCACCGATCGAACCACCAACCTTCTGATTAGCAGATGATTTGCTTTACCCCCTGAACAGCAGCCACCTGTGGCAGAGGTCAATGTTTTTAACCTGTTTTCAAGTAATACATTTCACTTTGAATATAGAGATATAGAAGTGTTTACATCATAGTCATTGGTTTGAGAGAAAGATGTTGCAAAAGCACGCAGGTTACATTGTTCACTTATTGTTCACTAAGTAATAATGAGCCTTCATCATCCCCATATATCACAGCCATGTGTTCTCTGACTTTTCTTCTAGTGACGATGTGAAGCTCATATTTCTGGTTTGACTGAAATATCTCAACAACTTCTGCACTGATGCTTTAAAACTACACTTAAAATTATTATTATTATTTTTTTTATACACATGTAGTGCTTAGCACATTTATTAGATCTCCCCTAACCCTCAACTCGTCACAGGCCAAGGGTGTCCAACTCCAGGCCTCGAGAGCCGGTGTCCTGCAGGTCTTAGATGTGTCCTTGATCCAACACAGCTGTTCTAAATGGCAAACTGACCTCCTCAACATGTCTTGACGTTCTCCAGAGGCCTGGTAATGAACTAATCATCTGATTCAGGTGTGTTGACCCAGGGTGAGATCTAAAACCTGCAGGACACCGGCCCTTGAGGCCTGGAGTTGGACACTCCTGAGGTTAATGAGCTCAGTCACTGGTTTCAGTTCATATTAAATACAAAACTGTATGGTGAATGATGAAGAGTCAGCGAGGATTATCCAGGATATGCTTACTAAGGACTTGTCACTCGTCAGTAGTAGGCGGTGTGTTTGGGTTAACACTCATATCTGGCCTTTTCTCTTCAAATCCAGAACAAAAACACTCAGCTCAGGACTTTAAAACCTTTGATTTTATTAACCAAACATCACAGTCACTGTCTCCATCTTTTATACTGTCTATATTTCAGACGTAGTATTAACTAATGGGACACATCAAGGCCCAGTATAAAGCTTTGGAAGGGTCATTTCTGTTCCTCTCACGTTGGTGATCCCTGAACTATTCCTTTGGCACCATCATCAGATCAAAATGTGAATGTAATCAATAGAAAGTCACCAGAAACCTGCAGACCGATGAGACTGTAGTCTCAGCTGCACTTGTTTAGCACGACCTCACGGTGACAAGTAGAAACCTGTCCTGTCAGCATAGTGGCATCAACTTTTAGCTCAGATCACCACCTTGCCAATACGGCAACTGAAAGCACGCTCATCTTCTTTTTTTTTTTTTATAATAAGCTCACAATAAAAAATGTTCAAAAACTGAAAATCAAATCAGTTGTGAAATGAGAAAATGAAATGGTTCACATGAAAAGTCAGATTCAATCATCTCAAGAAGAAAAGCAGAAAGTGAAAGCTTTAACTGGAAGTGGAGAGCAACGCTGTGTTATTTCCTCTTTTCCTTTTCCAATTAGCTTTTAGGAATCATATGAAGCAGGTGGTAGTAGTGCATGGCTGACTGGTTGCTATCTGAGTCTGAGCACAAAGAGAAATCAGACCTTTGTAACAGGGAAGTCGGGGCTAATGTTGTATTTCTAAATGACCAGCGACAATAGCAACAACACTCACTCCATCTTGCAAAACTGTGAATCTGCTTTTGTAAGTCAAAA